TTTGATCAAAGAAACTAAACGTTTGAAAATGTTCATTGAGAAATTCCATTTGTTCTTCAATAGAAGACGATAACATATCGAAATCCTGAAAAACACCAATGAGTTTTGAATATTCTAGAATAGGTCGATCATGAGATCGTTGTTCCCAATCGAAAATAAAGATGCTATCAATTTGAGATAAATTTTCAATCTGAGTTAGTATTTGTGTCATATCAGAAATGGACAAGATCAACAAGATTTTTTCATTATGAATTGATTCCATATATTTAATACAAGATTCTAGTTCAGTAAAAAATACAACATAATCATTAATATAATACAATCGATTCTTGATGTCATCTACATGATCGACTTCTTTCATTTTGCAATCCAACCATATCAAAGTAATTTCTTCATTGTTATTTTTATTTTGTTCTTTTGTTATTAATAAATTTTTCATAACAAGAAAATGTATGATAAATTAAGTTTATCTAATAAAATCTACAACAAAACAACAGAATAGATGATATTAAATACTTTATAAACTTTGTGAGTTTTGTTACTAATGAGTAATATATGAGAAAATGATTATACAGATGTATTTATATAACCTATTACTGAGAATGGCAGACACGTAATAAAAATGAACATGCTTAAATTTGTTTACGAAATGAGTCTATCATAGATCCATATTGATGGGCCAAAAATCGAACCCGAAAATTGGAAGAACAAAAGTAAATATTCTTACGACTATCAAGTAAGGAGAAAGTAATTTTCTTTCCTTTTCATTTGAAATAACGCATGTATTGCTCGCCATTGCTTAACTTTTTTCCTTAGTTTTGTATAAAAAGAAAAGAAAAATGACGACTTACTTACGTGATAGTCGTGAAAACTTTTCTATTTATTCTTTCGTTTCTAATGTAAACGTTTTGGCCCATCACTACTAGAAAAAAAACAATTTTTTTCTCCTTATTGTGCGATATGTTTATACATGTGCATTGATTCACTGAAGATAACGCGTGTTTTATACCATTTAGTCGATTCTGTTCGGCTATCATAGATTGTTTTTTTGTTTTTATTTTTATTCCTTATTTTTCATCTTTTCTGTACATGACTATCGAAATATATACACATATGTAATTAGTTTATTAGAGAAAAAAAGACTCATGGCCTATCTCGATTTAAATAAACAAGACATTTATCAAGTCGAAGGGCATAATCAATAAGTTGTAATATTATATCAGTCTCACCGATTATCAGTGTGATTTGATCGATCTTCGTTGAAATAGAAAAAAGAAGACCGAAATTATAGATCATTTATTTTTCATTACTAGTTTACCAATAAATTGAACTTTTATATTTTCGTGTAGTATGTTAACGACCATATGAAGAAAAGGAGGATTTTGGAGGATGTATGACCCGAATATTCGGGAGGATCACTCTTAAAAAAGGAGAAAAAATGGAGGATTTATTTCTTACCAAGAAACGATGCTATAGTGTTTCAAACATGAAAGTGTGTGAGGAATACAGTTGCATACTGACAGTTACAGTTCACCAGATTTAGAATACTTTGATACAGATCCATTTTATGAACTGTTTCTAGACCTTAATTCTCCATGAATTCTACGTGAATTTCATCACATATAGTTCAGGAACTAATTCGATGATCTTTAATGTATCTAAACAATTGATTGTCATCCCCAACAACTAAAGCGGGAAAAAAAATTGTATGAACCAAAATTCGCTTTTGAATCTCTATCCAAGCGAATCTGCTACCAATTCAACAAGATTTATTCTCAGGATGTGGGTGTCAGTGAATTGAGTACCCACACCCAACCCCCATCCTCTTTTGATCATTATATAGCCTCATAGATCTAGTATCTACTTTAAAAGTTTCAACCATAATCATCTGCTTACGCAATAGATATCGATTATTGAAATTCAGTTACTAGCGACATCTATAACTCGGTCATAGAGCAACATCTAGAGCTGAGACGAGTGGGTGTGGGTGTGGGGTGAGTCGAGAAGCCATGATCGCGATTTAGACCTTTCTCAAGTGTGTCATCAGACGGTTTTTTATTTGTAAGATTTTTATTTTAGTCAAAAAGATGGTTTATAGGTAGGAAATACATAACGACAGATCTTTTGTGTAATGAGTAAAGGGTGTGGGTGTGGAGGGTTTATTCATCAACACTCTATGGTAGAAATACGAGGTAAGGCAGCAGAAGTCTTTTTCATGATGATAGTAGTAATAAATCTGCCCATGTTTTATCTGTTTCGCTATTTTTTCCATTGTCTTGTACACCTTTTCTCTTTTGGATTCTATGCCACTTCTTACTCTTTTTTATGTGAGCCATGATCAAATACTTTCATTAGTTATTTTGTAATTTAAGCATCTCGACGACGACGCTTTATTCTCTGTTATTTTTGTATCTTTACCGAGTATACCGAGAAAGGAAAAAAAGAGCCATGACACGTTTGTTGGATTAACTCACTCGAAGAGCGTTAATGTTATCGTATTATTCATGTAGGCTGTGGGTGGTAATTCGCTTTCATACAGACGCTGCACATTGTCATCAGAACGGCAAGAAACTTGAAACGTGCTTTTTCATTACTTATTCTTAATGTATTTGATGTTTTAGTATATGTGAGAAACATCCAAAAGCAGCAATGTCAATTAGTTTTGCTTGTGCTAATGCTTGTAATTGCTCATGTAGCGACAGCAACAACGATCAACTATTTTGGTACGAACGAAACTTATATAATCAATACTGGAATCATGTAAGTTCGCCTAGGTTTTGTTTTGAATTTTCTTTCTTCAATTCATCAATTATAGTCTTTGGGTTAACGTATCGAACTGTCCATCAACAGGATGTTCATGTCAGGTGAAAGTCAATGAAATAGATCGGTGGAAACCTGTAGATTTCAAGAATACATCATCAGGTATTGGTACCGTCATTTTTGTTGGCCTTGATCCGTATACACTTTATTCATTCATATTGACCTGTAATGGAACTTCTGTAAACGCAACGAGCGAGTATCGAACAGATATTGGTAGACCATCACCACCACGAAATTTTGCAGTTAAGAACAATTCGACTGGTCTTCTTTTCACTTGGTCAGCTCCCTTGAAACCTGGTGGACCTGATTATCGATATTATTTGGAACTTGATGATACATCCCTCAACGTCAGCTTGCCATCTACCGCCACATCTTATCAGATAACGGTTGATTATAGGCTAGGCAGGATTCATCAGGCTGGTATAAGGGCATGTACTATTGATAGATTGAATGTCACACACTGCTCGTTTAGTCCCGATACTTTCATACTTTTCACAATGCAAGACGCGGCAACAACAACGATAAGACTTCAAACGACCACTAGATCGGGATCCATGGGTGTTTTATCATACAGTGCTCATTTTTTTGTTCTTCTTTCCTCATTCATATTCGTTCAAATGACACAATAAAATGAAAAGCATGTGGGTGTGGGTGTGGGTGACGATATGAGTCAAGGCGTGGGTGTGAATGTGGGTATTTTGAGTCTTAAATGTGCTCATCCCCAAAATCATCGCATAGTAAGCAACTAATCTGGTAACCATCTGACTTGGGAGACAGTGTGTTTGACAATGAACCAATTGCTTTAATTAACATCTTGTATAGGTGTTAATTATATTCGATCTAGAGACTCTTTCGATCATGAAAACTGTTCGGCGTTACTGGACTCGGCGAAAATGCGTTAATTCCTAATTCTCACCATGGCTAAAAGTTGACTTTTACTACGTGCAAGTGCTACCATATATGTCAGTTAATGGACATTACACTGAAGTTTCGTTTGCTATTTCATCTGAGAAGCGTCTCTAGTGAGAGCCAATTGCCAGCGGTTATCTAATACAACCTACTCCGAGGTCAACTCTCCATCATCCTGTGTTTCACGATATTTAACCCACAAAGGGTTGTATAGTGGTCTATCGAGTTGCTTTGTAAGTCATAGATGGCAACGCAAAGATGCTTTATCTAATTTCTGAGCAAGAGCGGTATATAATGCTTATCATTGAGAACGATTCAAGTAAATGTGGAAACCAACTATTCCAGATAGGTTTAACTGCTATTTTTTCATTTACGCCCTAAAGACTTGTGGTAAAACTCCATCGTACAAGAGAAAAAACTAGTGTAGTAAACAATTGAAGTCTTACTAACAATAGAATAAAATTCATTAGGTCAAGACTTATTGTATGTTTTTCTTCCAAATTCTTTCATTGATTGAATATTTCAGTATCTGAATAGTACAAAACAGTGAAGTCTCGACAAGTGAAGAAAAGAATACATTCTTTGTGCTGTAAACAGTAATAGAATATGGCAGAAACAAATCCTACCAATAAAAGTAAGAGATCGTTTTAATTTTAATGCGTCATTTGGCATCAGATCTTAACATTACATTAGCGCATACTTATGATCGAAGTATTCACTTTTTTTGATACTCAGATAAAGACATTCAAGCCGAACAACGATCGAACAGTTCTGAACTAAGAAATTGCGGTCCACTGATAACAGCGCCAGATTTGTCACATCTGCTACAAACACAACCAATTGTCAGTTCAGACTTTGTAACACTGTCTACTACCACACCACAAACAATAACGATCCTTGGTTCACAACCCACAGTATCAGCGTTAGCTGAGATAAAAAATGCTTCACAATTGACTTTTGAAAACTGGAAGTGTATTTTCGAAGTATGTAATCTCGGCAATGCATTATTCATCGATGGATTGAAACCAAAATACAGTTTTGAAATTGTGATTCGCTTGAAAGAAAATGTGAAACCCAAAGTTATTGTTTATGATTCCTCAACTGTCGACGCACATTTAACCTATACAGAACGAAGTCGATCGTTTGTGGAAAATAAATTTAGTGAAACCGGATGCAGTTTTTCGTGTCCATTTGTCACCGTTTCAACCAGCTACAAAGAAAAAGAAAGAATGGCTCGTACCAGCTTGAAGAAAAAATTATTCACAACATGTATGTGGAATTTTCCACGAGCGATAATAAAACTAGACAATCGCAGTGTAGAACCGACACCAGAATTTTTGCATGAAGTAGACAGAATATTAAGTTTACCAATAGAAAATCAGTATGAACAGTTCGAAGAACTATTTTCAAACTATGGGCATGTTATTGCAATAGAATTAACCATTGGAGGACAACTGTATCATACGGATATGCGAGAAAAAGAAGGTGCAATCGATGAAACACAACATGTAGAAGAACGAAAACAAGAATTTAAAGCAGCTGTGAAACAAGTACCTGTAGCTGCTGGTGTAGTCATGGAAGTTGAAGTCGGAGCTGCTGCGGGTACAAACAATGAAGTTAGATCTCGACATGAAGATGATCGACAAACGATGAGTACGAATTTTCAAACAACTGGCGGTAATACGACATTATGTCAAGACCCTGGTAAATGGGTCTCAACAATCGAAAATTTTCTAAATTGGCGAGTTATAAATATCGAAAAGGCAGTACCAGTGTATAAAATATTAGACAAAGAACGACAAAATCAAATTGAATCCGTGTTGACTCGTCAGCAGTCAAAACCAATTCCATTAACTGAGACGAATATTTACAGATATCCACAGGTCTTGGCCGACGAAACACAATTGGATAATCCTTCCATACCATTGCCTATAACTGGTATAGCAATTGTCAGCAGGTATACCAAAACGCCAAGTGGATATCGCTGTATCATAAAAGGTAATACTTGTATAGCTTCTTCATTAAATTTTCTCATCAGAATTGAACGTTATATCAAGTTACCAGTGGTAGTAGTATTTTTCTTAGCTTCCTTAACAATAGATATACATCATTTTCCCTTCGTGTCAAGGAAGTTTTCTTACAATGAATTCAAAAGCGACAAAACGAATAGAGAAAATTTTTCTGCGGAAGAAGACTACCACTGATAGATTTCCTAAGATAGCGAAGTTGTGCTGAAGTGAGGCAAATTTGCTGTATTTATTACACTGTTATGAAAAGATCAAAGACTGTTGCAAAACTGTTGACAAGTTCTAAAACTGTGCTGTTTAGAAGAATATAATATCATATATTTGAGGAAAGTTCCTTAGATTTGTTACATGAAGTGACGAAACTTTTCTTGAAGTCACGGTAGAAAATAGTTACAAGATATGCTGAGGAACGCAGAAAACAGAAGAGAATTGAATCTGAAGAAAGTGAATCTTCTTCTGACCCCTATATTTGGCACTTCTTCATACGATCCTCTACTACTACTCGCTACCATGTATCAACTACTAGAACTTGCCTGATGGATACGGATCTAAGGGTATAAGCGTAGAATTTCAGAAGTTGGTTAAGTGCGATTGACAGATGAAGGTACCACTCTCACACTCACTTTTAAAGCACATGTACACCTTTAATATAGTTCTCTCATAACTCTTTTTTTCAAGAGAAACTTCCTTTTTTTATTCTCAACGAACAGTGACACATAGAGCCACACTTACTGTATCTAAAAGACTGAGTATTTGTTAAAGTATATAACTCGCTGTTCAAATCTCGGTAAAAAAGGTATCATCATCTTTCATTAAATGTTCGTGTTGTTACTAACTATGCATTAAATAGAAGAATATTCACGTGTAGTGGATTCGTTTGTCATAATCTGTTTCTTGTTTTATATTCATTTGAAGCTCACGACGATGATCGCCGTGATGCGGATCTGATGGTTGATTCACTTTTGGAACGTAAGGATCGTTTCTTGTGTGTAACACGTCACTTTCCTTTAGCTGGTAACGCTGGTAGTTGTCTTGTGTTGGAAGATATTGTCTTAATAAATGAACGCGATACATCACCACGAAATTATGTCCCCCTGAAGTTTACCATCGATACACAACAAACAGCCACGTGGAGAAAAACTATTTGTGTGAAAATGGTTCAACGTCAATCAGGCAAACAGTGCATTTGTGATGTCATTTTTCTTTACCATTCAAAGAAACCTCCGGAAAATTATGAGTACATTGGTGAAATTAATGGTCTACAAATGTGTGTTCGACGAAGCAACATTCCATCAATTGTAGAGTCTGACGATTCCTGTTAGCAGAATTGTCGTTCAGTGAACAGATCGAATGAATGACTCACTTTTCTGACTAAACGACGCCTCAAAAACACTGAACTACTCAAAATTAAGACGATGATTGCAATTTGACATCAAAAGTTAACATTTACTTTCCAATTATTTCTTTAACTTTTTGTTATGTGAAAACAGATAATAACCCTGAAACTACTGTTGTATATCTCGTCTCATTTCTTTCAGTACATTCCAGTTGATGTGTAATTAACTTTATCATTCATATCCTTACTCATGAGCGAATCATCATAGTTCTCTTAATGATTCAAAAACTTTTCTCGACATTGGCCGTGTGGGTGAGGGTGTGGGTGTGTCGAAGTATATTAAGATCAACACTCATCCGTTTGATTTGATACAGTTCACTGTTAAAGTCGTCATCTCGATGATTTCCACCATGAGCACTGGTTATTGCTAATAGGAGCAAAATTATTACCACTAGTCACATCATTCTTTTCTTTTCTCTAGATGAGGCGAGTTGAATCTAAAACATCGTTTTGAATACGCTCTGCGCTTGTATTCCTCTAGTCATTTGCGCCAGCTCTCGTACTACTTCGTAATCCAATCATAGCGTCCTCTAATACTACAAAAATCAAAATGTTGAATGATTGTATTTGTTCGCTGTAACAGAAAAAATCCGATGGACAACACTAGGTACGATGGTATTTTGGGATCTTGTCTTGAAATGAAGATCGACATGAGCATTTCGTCACTAACCGTCTCAAACGATTCCCAACATCTCACCTGTGTCATTAAAGAATAGAAAACCGAAATGCTCATTGATTGCTACTGTTTGCGTCGAGCAAATATGAAATGGACGGTCTTCAAATAGGATGTTGCAGTGGAGGTGTTGATACAGGTATGAATGAAGGAAAGACCTGAGCGCACACTTGTACCCCACCCTCATCTGAATATCTCATCACAACCAATGAAGAGGCAGCTAAAGAACAATATGCACTCTCTGAATAAACAGACTGGTACACTTGAAGAGTTTTTAGTCCACTGATCCGGCGTCAAACAGATTGTCACTTTCTCTTCAAATCACTATAATAGTTTGTCGGCAGTGCAGAGCACGTTGCATCGAATTCGAAATTGAATTGCTGAAACGATTAAGACAGAAGCCAAACGTGGACAATATCTCTATTCCAATGAAGAATATTCTGTAGCAGTAGCAATGATGAAAATGGCAACAGATAAAGATTGGAGAACGTTGGTGAAAGAGCAAGTTTTGAGCCTATTGAAAGTAATTATGCTAGGTTTTGGATAGATAAGAACAAGAAACTAATATTCTTTTAACAGTAAAATCTTATGTGATACATATTCGAATGGATACAGATCATATACAGTAGAAATCGAGATTGCAACAGAATTGAGTAGATTCATATTTATTTTATTTGAAATTTATTGAAAATTATTTTTAGAAATAAATAATCATCATTGTGACAAAAAATGACTGAGCAGAAAAAAAAGCTTTTTTAATAAGTCAGAAAATAGAAAGTGATAGTATCATGCTTATAAATGATATACACCTTTTTTTTACTTCTGTTATCTATCTACGATATATAAAGAAGAAGGTAAAAAAGTGCATATATTACAGTTTACACGAGAAAGAAAGAAAGAAAATTAATGCTTGTTTCACAAGGACACGTTATTATTATAACCATCGGATATTTATTATTGTAAGTTCGATTCAATGTTTAGATTCAGTTTTTTTCCAAAGTCTTTGTATTCTTAGTGCAACAACTGGTATAACAGTGGGTAATAAGAAAAATATATTTTATTTCTTTATTTGACGCTCTTTTTTTAGCCCAATTTGACTCTGATGGTCAACAAAAACAAGGAAAATGTAAGTGGAATAAAAAAAACAGTTATAGACATCACTAAACGTGTATCATGTCCATTCGATGCCAATAAATTATGACTTTTCAAAGTGACTGATGTCTTGTTTAATTTAAATTTTTTTTTCAAACATGGTTCTATCTCTGATTTTCGATGCAGTAAAGTTTTGTTTTTCTGTAGGTCCCGATGATCTTAAGTGGAATTCGAATGGAATAACAGTTGTTGGAAGTGATACAGCTGGGACATCGTCGAATCAGTTAAATGGACCACGTGGTTTATTTTTTGATCAAAAAACACAAATTTTATACATTGCCGATAGAGATAATCATCGTATACAACAATTACTACCAAATGGTCAAATAAAGACAATAGCTGGAGATCCAAATGGTACTCCAGGAAACAGTAGTGATCGATTAAATCAGCCATCAGCTATTTATGTTGATGAAAATCAAAATTTATTTATTGCTGATACCAACAATCATCGCGTACTAAAATGGGAGAAGAACTCATCAAGTGGAATTACTATGGCAGGTGAAACAGGAAATCCAGGTTCAGGTTTAGATCAATTAAATAGTCCTCAAGCAATATGGGTTGATTCAAAGAATAATTTGTACATTGCAGATTTAAGAAATCATCGTGTGATGGAACGGTCACCTCAATCAGAAGGTATAGTGGCAGGAGGAAATGGACAAGGTGATTTACCGAATCAATTGAACGATCCTGTAGGATTGTATTTTGATGAATCAAATAATGATTTATATATTTCAAATTATCTTGGTCATTCAATAACAAAATGGAAAATAGGTGAAAAACAAGGTACATTTATTGCTGGTACGCCTGGTAAGAATGGTACCAGTTCAACACAATTTTTTAGTCCATCTACCGTAGCATTAGATACAAATGGTAATATGTATATTGCTGATACTTATAATCATCGTGTTCAATTATTTTGTCATGGTTTATCAAAAGAAGGTAAAACAATTGCTGGTATAACAGGTCAAAGTGGTAATAATCCTAATCAATTAAATTTTCCTCATGATTTGGCATTAGATACACAAACATTAGATTTATATATTGCTGATAGTGATAATAATAGAATACAAAAATTTTCTTTTATTTCCTCATCATCAAAAAGCATAAAAACAATGATAGAACGACAATTGATATTAGTGTTAATAATAATAAGCTTTGTTTTATTTTATTGATTATCACGAAAAATGATCCAAACATCCTTCAATTATTGAATAAACAAGCAGACAAATATTTTTTCTTTTGGCGTCTTTTTTTCATGTGAAGCTTTTTTTTTTTCGTTAACGACCAAATACAATATTGATCAGTAAAATACATCGGTATTACCTGCGAAATAGTGACTGTAAGACATGTTTCAACGCACTTCTTCTGTCATTCATAGAAATCAGAGACCGTCACAGGGCAGGGCAAAAACCTAATTTTTAGCTCTGTCCTGACTGTCCTGCTAACTTTTTCCTAGAAACATTAATTAAAAAAAAAGATTTTCCATAGAATATCTATCGTTTATATCAAAAATAATTAAAATAACTATCAACAAAATCTTATCTTAAATTTGATTCTTTCATAGCTTACCATATAGTGCAACTTTTCAGATTTTCATCGGTCTTTTTGTTGTTTCTGATATATCATCCATGTTTGTTATTGTACATTGAGTTTAGTTGATAGATGCTTCAATTTTATTTCAATATTCTATTATTCTCATATATGGGCGTATCCATCAAGATGTCCAAATAGCAATCACATTTTTTAGTTCCTCCTTCTTGTAGAACCCTATTAACAAAAGCTTAAGATTCAGCCTATACGTTTCAGTGCACAACTTTTTATTGTGTTATATTAAATAAAACTTTATTAACTGAGCGTACCAAAAAATGAAATACCGCGGATACAACTCAAACAAAAGCAAAACGCACTTTCGAATGAGCAACAAACAAAGGTACAATCTATTATAAGATTTCCTATCATAAAAAAGCTAACCGCATAGGAAATTAGTCATTCTACTAATTTAAAATAGAATAAGCGCATAAATTTTCTATTTTGTATGACTCTTTTCAAGAATAGAAATGCGTAACAAAATAGGTAAACAAGGATTTGTTTTACGAAAATTATAAGCACTGATGGATGATAAAGAGCCGAACAGTTAGAAAATACTAGGTAAGATGAAATGCACCCAATAAGAAGATAATTGATATGTTTCAGAACAACTTCCATAACTTTAGTTGACAATATTGTTGCTGTAAATCCCATTTTACTTATAGTCATCATTCAAGCACCGAATGTCTCTTCCATATAATTTATTCATTTATGAAAGATTGAACATTGAATTCGATCATGAATTTCTTTTAAAAATGTTGTTCAAAATAAACTTTGCTTCAAAAATTCGAAAAAAGGATATGAAAACCTGAAATACCAATAGCAAGCGTTCAAAGGGTCAGAAATGTTTGAACATTCCATTATTTTTATGCAGATACATCTAATTTTGATTAAATTCCCCTCATTGCTATCTTGGTGTTCTCCATAAATATCTCATAAAACTCTTCGAAGTAATATTAGTAAAAGACAAGTATTATATATTGAAATGATCACGATATTTTTATCAGGTTCTCAGTTCGTTTAATTATGAAACTTGTCTATATGTCATGCCCTGCCCTCAGGACAGGGCAGAGAAAAAAAAGTGCCCTGTGACGGTCTCTGGTGTAGAAATCGAAAACTCGATTCGACTTGCAAATTTTTTTCAAGTTTTCAGCTATTCTTGTCGTCTGTAAAAAATGATTATGTTCAAATTAGTAGTTGTATTTGATGGTTGTGATATTAAATCCTTGACAACATACTTTTAGTCGATGCAACATCTAACGATCAGCTCTTTTCAAAAAAATTTGAATATAACAAATATATTTTAGCAAGTTTGTTTCATATAAAACAAAAATAACATGAGTTAAGACTTAGAATAAATCATTGTCTTCTCACTCCATGCTTGAAGCAGTAGCCTCAGTAACAATGGAAGGATCTCCGGTAACATTTGATTGCATAGGCTTCCTTGCTTTGCTGTCTACTTCTTTATATAACATATTTTCATAAGTTTCTTCAGTAAGTTTAATTGCTCGATTTATTTCACTTTCAAAAACACGATCAAAATAATTCATTGATTTATTTTCATATTTTTCATCATTTGATTCCTGTTTACAATTAACAGATTATTAAATCAATTTTAATATCAGTTAAAATATCTTACAAAAAAAAATATTTTATAAGTTTATCGTAATAGAGATTCTTTCTCTTCTAGATATAACGAATAGATTTATTTTTTCGATTTATTATTATTTACATTTATTCTTAGAAATAGTTTTATAATTTAGTTAAAATAATCTAATTGATACTTTCTTCATATTGAAGATAGATATTCATTTAGCTTATTTTAGTTAATCAAATCTATATGATGATTTGATGAGAATATATTATTCTATTTACTCACTTGATCAGTCGACTAATTATTTGTTTGAGAAGATGAAATGTTAAGAACATCTTTGACCCATTCAATAAATGTATAAAGACGAAGAAGTTGTGCTTCAACATTTTGTTCATAAAAATTTGCATCTTCAATTTTATCACCAGCATCAGCAAGAGTAAGACGCATACCTATTTTATTTAATAGATATTTGTTTTAATATTTAAAAAATAAATGAAAACTTTACCATCAGCAGAAAATCCTTCAATAGCTTGTATTAAAGTCATAAAATTGCCTGTTGATTTGGACATCTTAAAAGAAAATGAATATTTGATTTGAAATTAAATTAATAAATATTAATTACTTTTTATCATTTAAGAAAATATGTCCATTAGCACAAAATGCTTTTGGCCATCGATTATCTTCGTTTTTAGGCCAAATAGCAACATAATTATAGAAAGGAAATGTTAAATGATTTGGTATCAGATCTTTGCCACTTGATCTTAAATCAACAGGATACCAATATTGAAATTCATTTCGAAGACAATCAAGAATCTCTTTAGAAATATTTGTTTTTAATGAACTATAGGATTTATCAACAAAAAATATATAATCCCAAACATCAATTATCATTTCAGATGGACTTATATTAGCAGAACTTAAAATAATAAAAAATAAATTTACTTTATATTATCAATTAATTCGACATAAAATAATCGATATTATTTTTATCTTAAATGTTTATTTTCACTAGAAAATCTCTATATTTGGAAAAAAAAACATTTTATTAAACATAATAGTTTAAGATAACAACATATTTGTCGTTATGCACACAATGTCCGTTTCAGAGGCACTGAAAAAAAATTTTTTATTGACAGTTTTTATCCCAAAATTTCTCCCTATATTCTTTCACATCCTTAGACATTGATTATCAAAATTTTGCTATGATAAAGAAATTTCTTAAATTCAGTGACTCTGTAATAGTAAGGTATTTGAAGTCTCTAATTGCACATAACACTTGAGGGGGTGGTTATCATACCTTACATCCAGTTCAGAATGGAATTTTTGATTAAAAAAGAGGAGAGATATCTTGAATTAAAATGAATATATTATTTTTGTTGGATTATATCTTCAATGTAAGTTCTATTATCCATTAGATATTCCAAATCAGTTTATCAGATATTTCTATTTGTCTGTGGACACTTATGTCTTATCAACCATTCCATATAAACCATGATTTACCGTCATAGAGAAAGGCTCAATTAGAATCTTAGATTTGCACGAAACTTATTTAATGAGATCTTTCAAGGTTTGCATAGAACCATAAATAGAATCGGTACCGGTCTGGATTTCGGATCGACCGATATTTGCCAATCCAACCGATCCAAACCGGTTTATACGTATAAGGCTCGGTCTGTTACCTATACATCGGCATTTAATGATAGGCTAATGTATCATCAGTAGCTCGTTTATTACCGATATACTGGCATTTTATCAGTAGACTGGTCAAACCGATAGTTCAGAAAAAATAGATGGAATATCGTTCAAGCGTTTTTTTCGATTTGTTATAATAAGAATGAAAATGAAAAAAAAGACAAAACCGTTTTGATGTCCATCATATGAAGATTGTAGAAGATGATCTACTGTATAATAAGCCATATAAATAGTTGAATCAGAAAGAGATTCAATAAAATATTACTTATCTCAAGGTAGTCTTGTTCCAAGACCGTATGAACGCGAACATGTATGTTCATAAAGCCAATCAAATGTAGCTTCAAAATTGTGACGTGTTTTATCGGTAAAAACATTAAGTTGTTGTAGAACATGACGTGCTTCTTCTTTCCATGATTCATTTCCATAATTTATAAACGAATGATCACATAAAGCAACAACACCTTGATCACCTGATCGTGATATAACCTATTAAGAAAAATAAAAATAAAATTCTTAACAAATTAATTCTTAAAAAATAATAAATGACTAACTTTATTTTCTAGTTCATAATAAATACAAACTTGTTTTGATGTAATAAGGTCATCTCGAATAAATTTTTTTACGTCAGCAACTTTTTGTTGTTGATATTTTCCTGTAAGTAAAATTTCATCTTTAGCTCGAGCAAGTTTTTCATAATCATATTGAGATTGAATATTAAATTTTTCATAAACTGTTGGAGCAGGTAAATTTTCATATGGTTCGACATAAATGATAGGTACTGGATCAAATGGTAATATCATTGATTCTTTTATTGAATATTTTTCACGCATTTGAATCTAAAATTATATTTAAAAAGACAAACAATCTTTGATAATAATTTATTTATTTAACTAACTTTTTTTTAAAGATCAAATAATGCTGCATAATCATCAGCACTATCACTTGGTACACTTGTAACAACACCTGTTCCTTTATCTTCTTTAATTGTTAACATAGGAAGAACATAAATTGTTTTATAAGAAGATAAAAGAGCATCTAATGGTAAATCAAATAATTCTGAACCAAGAAATTCTGCAAGTACTCTGAATTTTCTATGTTCATTTGTAAAATCTTGATGAGAAAGATTACGTACAGCACGTCGAGTACAAATAAAAATTCCATGATCACGAGTTGGATGAAGCCAACAATTTGTTGGATCATACATTGTTTCTGGACGAAGAGTAGCTGCAACAAGATAAACACCATCTAATGTAGAATGATTCCTTTCAAAGAAACAAATAAAAGAATTTTTTGTTGTTGTTGTTGTTTTTATATTTTACTTAAGTTTATCAGGAATAAAATCATCTTGAATACGTAATTTAATTAATGTATATTCTTGTGGAAGAACACCTTCACCACTACTTCGATCATGATCCATACATGGTTGATTATCTTTTGGTGAATATATTGTATATCTATTGAAGTATATATATTAATATTATTTAGAGAAGAAATTAATTTTTTTGTTTTTATTTTACCTTTTTCCAAATCGAATTTTTCCTCCTTGTTTTAAATGATGAAATTGCCATTGAATAAATGAATCATAATATGAATTACGATCTCTTGTTACAAAAAAACGACGCCAATCGATCTATGTATTATGAATTTTTATTTAAAATAACAAAATGGATTGTCAAATAATACTTTTAAACCCATCATTTGTAAATTTCGTTCAACATGAGGTGGAAAATAAGTAAGCCAATATTGTGGATTAGTAAATTTTTTTTATTTCTTCATCACTTTCAATTCCAATACTACGCATTATTTCCCATTGATATTTTTCAGAACCTGTTTTTGCCATTGCTTTTGACTAGAAATAATATCAAAGAAAATTAATATAATTTACCTTTTTACTCTTTGTTTTATTTTCAATTTTTGTATCATTTGATACACCATTTATTTTTAAAATTTGTTCATCTTCTTCTTCTCTTTCAATAGGAGATTGAGGTGGAAAACCAAAATCTTCAATTTTACGCTTTAATTTACTGGAATAGGCATACCCGTTGCATGAAAATCAAAAGGAAAAAGACAATGTTTTCCTTTTAAACGTTGATATCCAGTAGTAAACTATATTAGACATTAATTGTGAAAAAAATAAATCATTTTTTTCTTATTTTAATTCGAAAACACAAATTATTTGATTAATTAATTCTTCTTCGATTTTAGGAGAATTTTATGTACTAATAAAGAAAATACCTATACAAATATTAGTGTGAAAGATAATCATAATTTGAATTATAATAATACTAGCGAGAACTCGTGCATACTGCACAGCTGCTTTTTTTCTTTAACGTATGAACTCAAACCTTCAACCTTTCACTCAATAATAGTCTTGCTCCCTTGTAGCCTTATATCCCTCTAGTCTCATGACCTTTAACCCGACATAGACACTGAACATTATATATACAGAAGATTTCCTTGACAATTGTGTAAATAATATACAAAAAAAATGATAGTTATTAAATATAAATAGTAAAAAAAAATGTTTCCATTTTTCGGTTGTATTTAATTTAAAATAAAAGAATTTCAGTAAGAATATTTCGAATGCGAATCTGACTCGAAACTTTTTTTTGATTTGATGATCTTTAATTTTCATCTAAATAAAATGATTAAATAATAAACGTTTTTCTAAATACATTTATTCTTTATAGTTTATTTTTTTATGGAACAAAAAAAGTCGATTTGATGTTTATATGTCAATGGAATAATCTAAATATGTATATATAAAGTTCAGTATGTGTCTGTGTCCAGATCACGGGTCAAAACTTGCGAGATAACGGCTAGAGGCTGATGTGATGCCTCAAGCAAAAACTATATATCTCTTAATACAACAATCCAGTGAATAAATCCTCCACTTTCCAAAGATCACAGAAAGAAGTATATCTCATGTAGAGAGCTACAGAAAGAACTGAGAGACAGAGATAACAATATATTACACAGAAAGCGAGCAATAGTGAGTGTCGACGGGTGTTACAGAAACGCAAATCCAAATCTATGATTGTTAAAAGATGGTCTTAAAACAAGCAACTGTACAATTTATACGGGGGTTTAACTAGTTGTCTACATATTATCTCAAAACTATTACATTATCAACAAACTTAAATCGAGTTTCATAATGCAAATAATAATATAGAATTTTATTCTTAGAATTAAAAAGCTTTTTTTTGATAATTAAAAAAACAAATGAATAATCATCCATACCTCGCATTTTGATAATGAGAAATGTATGACCAAGATGAAGGCGACCATCCATATAAGGATATGGAAATGTAACGAAATATTTATTTGAACTAAAAAAAATAAAATCTTGTTTATTGATAAATAAAAAGATTGTTAACAAACTTGTCGGTCCATTCAGTTGGAGCATCAGCTTGAAAATATTTTCGATCGGATCATTGTTTTTACATCTGAGTTTCTATTTTCCGAATAGCATCAAGTTTACTAGTAGAACGTTTTTCTTCAATATTCATAGATGAACATACTGAACCAGTATTTTCACAATCCATTTCAATTTTTATCTTAAATAACAAATATGTTAACATATTTCATCATCTTCAATAGATTTTATAGCAAACTACAGTTGATTCAATGTCAAAACTGCGGAAAACTCATTCGTATGAAGGAATATGACTCATATATATATTTTTATCATTGATGAAAATAAAAGGAAGAAAAAAAAAGCATTTTTGAGTCATTGACAACTATTATGATGACATCGTCACTGAAAAAACTAATCGTTTAATCTGCTTCGTATTGTAATGTCGATATCTATTCTAAATTGAAAATGATATTTTCGTTCCTTCTCTTGAACAAAAGTGAAAACTTAAATTTTTAAAAACTATATTTTTCTACAGTGGGGGTGAAAAGTCTGGTCCCACTTTTTTGTTTTGAGTCGTGTATTAAAACTACACAAGATTAATTTAATTCAATTATATGTTTGGATAGCAGAGATCGAGTACTATATATATATACACCTGTTCAATTCGAAAACCTCTTGAATATAAAATATAATAAGAAAAACAAACTCCGGTACTAAGAAAAAACTCACATAAAAAACTACAAAATGATATTGTTGTTATAGGATACTTCGATGAACAGTCAACCAAAAAGTATTCAGAAAACTTTTCATTTTATCAAACTTTGTAGAGCTTTTTTCGCTGATCATTTTGACATAAAAGTATTATGAATTTCATTGAGAAATGATGGTACTCTAGTCAAAATACTAAATATCGGATGTTCCAAAATGTTTGCAGCATAGCTTGTTTTGCGAATATCTCTGCACAGACAAATGATAAAATCTTAGTTTTTCTTTCAAAAGATACACCATGAATAGCTCTACAAAAACTGTAAGAACAAGACCCCATTGACTTCTTTTGATGGTTTCTTCCATACTCAAAATGAAAAGAAAATACATGATAGTTCTACTTTTCATCATATTTAACATAATAAAAATGTTTGGAAGACATTTATATTTTGCATATATCTCGGCTTAAGAAAACGATAACGTCGTGATTTTGTTTTCAAAAGATGCGCCGTCGAAAGCTCTATAAAAGCCGTATGAAGAAATTCCTATTGCACAAAAAAAAGTGTTCCAAACATTTTTATTATCATTTTTGTAGTTTTTTATGTAAGTTTTTTCTTAGTACTGAAGTTTGTTTTTCTTATTATATTTTATATTCAAGAGGTTTTCTAATTGAACAGGTATATATATATAGTACTCGATCTCCGCTATCCAAACATATAATTGAATTAAATTAATCTTGTGTAGTTTTAATACACGACTCAAAACAAAAAAGTGGGACCAGACTTTTGACCCTCACTGTATTTTTTATTTTTCATCTAAAAAATTCAATTTGTACTAGCACTAAATCTCGCATCTCATAGAAAAATAGAACAAAAATTTCGTTCGTTGTTCTCTTCATAATTGACATTCAAAAACAGGTTATTATATCATATAATTACAAATACATACTATTAACAATCTTTTTTTGTTTTAAATTAATATAGAAATAAATTCAAAGTTAGAAGAAAATAATACAGACACACACATCAAAATCTGTGTTATATATATGTTGTAGTCAAAATTAAAATTCAGTCAAATTTTAAATTTGACTAAAATTTCTGGGCAAATTTTAAATTTGGCTGATTTTTTGACTAGGCAAATTTTAAATTTGACTGAATTTTAATTTTGACCACAACATATATATTTATAAAGAGTGTATATTAAGAAACATGGAAAAAAAAGAAAGAGATTTTTGATAATTATTTAGGTCAATATATGGTTACGACAATCTTAAATGACGAATATGTATTCTTTTTTGTCTACGAATGTAATGCGTCAGGTTTTACGATGTTAACTAAATATAGAAGTGATATACTGATTATTCATATCTCTGAAAAAAGAGAGATAAATATATTTACTATGTAAAGATTCTATTTCTTTTTTGTTTTTTGGAAGATAATTTATTGAAAATTACTAACAAACTAAATAATTTTAATTAATCATCATCATAAAAATAAATGGAATAATTGTTCTATTTATAGTTTTTGTTGAACGAATAAAAAGAAAAAAAAATTTAAATAATTTTTTAAATTTATTTTAAATCTATTATATAATTTAAACTTTTAACAACGAAAATGAATTGAAAGGGAATAAAAAGAAATTGAGATAATGTTAATTATCTAATTTATTTTCTATTTTATAATAATAACTTCTATTATCTATTTGAGGACGAAATGGAAATAAATTGAAAATATTATATCATTTTTATTATTCTTCGATAAAATACCATCGTTACTACAAAACGCATTTAGATTAAAAAAATCTTTCCGACATAGTTTTGCGTATTTTAAATTGTCATAGACGCAATACAAATAGATAAAAGTGGATGTATTTTTTCAATTATCTAGTCAGCTGAAAATGTGTCAAGGCATAAGTTATCGACTGTGCTGATTATCATGGTCATGTCATGTTAGCAGAAGGTTAACAGAAGCAAGACAATGAACTTCTTGAAATATGCTTCTTTACGCGTTAGTTAGAGAGAAACCATTATCAATCTTCCAAGAGCAAGCTTCTTTTTCTTTCCATTAGAATTCAACAACAAATACATAGAATTTTATATCATTTAAAATTGCTGATATCGAAGTTTTATCGGCAGACGATAACAGCGGATTATTCCTTTTCTTCTTGTTTACAAATAAAACTTCGATGTCGACACTGTATGTACTTTTTCCATTTGTTGTATCGAGTTCATCGTCAAAAGAACAAATTCCATTTATACACATTTTTGAATTTTCATCGCAGAAACGATTATCTGCTTGTTGACCTAACGTAAACAGGAAAGAGATATTTGCAGTCAAACTCATATTTTAGAAAAAAAAATTAGACACGTACATATTGTTTGTTTCTCTAACTCCGTACCATTAGTTGATAATTCTCTAATGTTAATAATAATATAACTATTGATGTTCTGATTTCTATCAATGTACACAGACGAATTAAATAGAGATATACAGTACGGTTTCTATGAATCCAAGGAAGATAACCATGTAAATCAATTCTTTGATGTATCCTAGAGAGTTTTGAATCATAGGAAACAAAATAACAATTATCATTTAATAGTTGCATTACCACACTTCCATTTTCAACTATCCAATATGTTCCGGATAAATTTTTACAACGATCATTAATACACTCATCATTAATCAATAGATTTTTATTTTTCGCTACCGTTCCATTTGGTAAGATTGCACCTTGATATGTAAGTGCCGTAGCCAGCTGTTCATCTGTAATATTTGACTGTGATAAATTAGCATTCTGTAAATTAGTAGAATCGAAACGTGCATTTTCAAAATTACATTCAACTAATTTTGCATAACTAAAATCAACATCCAATAAATCTACTGAACTAAAATCTGCATGTGTACAATCAGTTTGTGCAAAATCTGATCGATAGAGAGTTCGTCTTTGAAACGATGCATTTCGTAGGGAAACACCACGTAAAGCCATATGTGTATGATAATAGAAATTTGATGTAAGCTGTGTATATGGTGATCGTAAATCATTAAAATCAACATTATCTAAATTTACATCTTCTAATGAAATAATTGGAATTCCAGAATTGATATCAGTTCTAATTAATTTGGCTTCATATAGAAATAGAATTATTTCACGTTTTCGTTTCACATCTACTTGTCGTAGAACACTCATAGTTTTTGCACGTAATATAGGATCTAATGTTTGATTTGAAAACATTAATGTAGATATATCATTTAAATATTCTGCTAAACGATTGTCTTGCCTCTCTTCATCAGCTAAATAACCAGTTTGTTCACGTTCACGTTGTGCAATATCTAAATCTTTTTTACGATTTTCCTTTGCATCTGTAGTGTTTTGAATAGTTAACATAAGAGTTGCAAGACCTAACATCAAAGGAACTAAAAGTACACCGATAACTTTCAGTATATCTTTCAATCGCATATGACAAAATGGAGATTTAGGCAATCTTGATTCGATGTTTGTTGAATTATCAAAAAAAGCCCGAGGTAGTAAAAATGACATGCCCCCAGTTGTCTGAGAAACAGACCTCTGACGAGCCGACATGATCTAAAAAAGAGAATAAACGCTGTATTACTATAGGAAATGTGTTTAACATTATACAGGAACAGACGTATGAGATAATCGTCATCTAATTGAAAAAAAAGAATTGCATCTATAAAATTCAGGAAAGAGGTAGGTTTTACTACTTTTAGTTAGTTCTAAGCCTCTTACTTCGAAGTTACATCAACAAAAAAAAACATGCTATTGTAAGATAGCGTATAGAATCTTGTAAGAAAACGATATTTAAAGAAAAACTTTTAACTTCAAAATTTAAAATCTATTCCTGAACTAATGTTACGCCTAACATTCACAAGCAAATAATTCTTGATAGTCTCCATGTCGTGTTGGTGTACAATCGTAGCAAATCATCGCTACAATTGTATAGGCTGGTGGTGTAGAAGAATAATTCGTCCATCTTGTTGGCAAAAGGGAACAGCCAGCTTCTATCCATGGACCAATAGTTTCTAGATCTGAAGAAAGAGAAAGAGAGAGAGGGAGGTAAGAATAAAATGTACTTGAAAGTTTCAAAGTATATGAGTATCACAGCACTTACTTTCATCGTTAATGATATCGCGTAGACGTTTTGTGCGAAAAAATCTATTTGTTGAATCTCTTTCATACCTCAACGGTTCTGTTAAAATTACTGTATTCCACGATGTAAGTATTTTACCAGTGTTACATTTCACTTTTGATTCATTTAGTGGAAGATCAACTGGACATTGTGAAACATTATTTAGTGTGATTTGAACACCGATATCCCACGAAGCTGATAGAGGACCACGTGGACCACGGCCAACAACGGTTTGAGCATACTTTGATGATGAAGTTGAGAGAGAAGACTGACGTTTTTCACAGATGAATGGATGAGGATCGACAACCGCTTGAATGGCTATTAATATGAGTGTAAAAAGTATAGGTGTTGATTGCAGTTTCATGTTTTTTATGATTGCTCTATTACTTTAACTGAAAGCATTTTTTATAGTAATTTGACTCCAATGTGAAATATTTCATTGATAATTTATTACGCACTTCTTTTTTTTGCCTTTGAATCAATAATAAATCTTGAGTCAATAAAAGCATATGTCTTCTATATTTATAAATTGTAAATATATAGATTACTCATAAACCTGTCAAATACATACTTGGTTACTTTCAACAAAAAAAAAAGAAGGTAGAAATTTAAAAAAAATGTAATTTATGATATGCTCTCATTGTCACATAACTTATCTATGTAAAAAGCTATTTTTCTGAGAGATTTATTGATTATAATATTTAATTGAGATCAGCGAGTAACTGCAAAAGCACGTTACAGAGACATTAAATGCACCCTTTTCACCACTAATCATCTTAGAGAAGTCAATTCAACACAATCAACTTATTCATTCTCTCATATGGACAGACTAGTGACGAGATCTTGAGGCTACTAGTGCGTCACTAGAAACAAGAAGTCGTACCAATATTATAAATGATAAACGTTTTGGACTGCTGTAAGCTTCTGATCATTAGACTCAATCAGCTAGCAACAAAATTTATCTACACATTTCATTCAAACCGCTGAAGAGATGTGCCATCTCTCATCACTCTCTCTCCTCTTGTGTTTATCCCAATGAGATAGACTATTGACAAGATCAATGTGTTCTTTCTTACTCTTAACTGTAGTGCTTCCTTTTTATAATAGATATAGTCATGTAGTGTAAACAGTCGTTTTCCTCTGTTATCGTTTACAAATAAACCAGATTGTTGCTCAGCTCCAATCCTCTTTTGTAAGTTACAGATATAGTGAAAGTCAAGGTTGTTACTTTTTGTTGGGACTTTTAATATGAAAAAAGCCGAACTGTATCAACTGACTTTTATTTAATGAATGTCACTTTCTTAATTTTTATTTAAGAGGCGTGAACGTGGGTGTGTGGGTGTGGGCACCGTTGACGAGAAGATATAGGCGTAGCTACTTTAGAAGAATATCGAAAACGAGGATATTCACGAGAACTTCTACGCATGGCTATTGATAAAATGGAACAAAACAATGAGTTTGATGTATCATTCTTGCGAACTTATGTACCAAAACATTATAGTGTTTTCGAATGGGAACAGATATCTACTCCATCTCCTATTATTATAGAATGGAAAAACTTTAATTTTGAGAGTAGCAATGTTGAATAGCGATCGGCAGTGGACGTATTATCAACAGATGGACAATTTTTACTTGAAATACATTCAAACAAACCACGTACATATCAGTTCGAGCGGTCACCATTAACCATGTTTCAATATTGGACCTGTTGGGACTGGCGTCAAGAGATGACTATCATGTGCATTTTAAGGGATGAAGAGCCAGGATATGTAGTCACTAATAATCCAGATGATCATTTCGATATTTATGTATCCGAATGGCGAGCTACAAATATCGAGCTCGAGAAAAAACTTTTCAAACTAGTAGCAAAAGAAATTCGACGACAGCACCCGGATACAAAATATATTCGGTTTTATGGCCTTTCACAACATATGAACCTAGAAGAACTCGAGCAATGGTGTGGTACAGTAGTAATGGGACAAAATGATGACACTATGATTTGAAATATTAATGTTTTTGAAAGAATGAAAATATCTTTTTCAAGTGGAGAAGCAATATTGTGGCCTGGTGATTTCTTTTAATAAAAACACTTGATGATGGGCATCTAAAATATTCCACTTTTCTTTGTTTGTACTTACTTTATTGAAATATAGATTGAAGTAAAAAAAATACGGCTATCACGACGAGAACTGCTCGGCTCCTTTGCTTTTGAATAAGCTTGATTTTTTCCAGCAGAAAATGATCATGTCCTTACTTTCTTCAAAGAGCGATAATTATTCTAAAAACTCAACTCATTATTCGGCTTCCCCCTGCCTTTTGACTTTCATAGCAACCCTGGTAAAAAGTTTTCTCAATAGAATATTGCATCAATTTGTTTTCGATCTGAAGAAATTTAAAAACTATTTATGGGTGTGTATAAAAAGCAGACTCACACCTTCAGCTACACGATGTGTGCCCATAAGGAAGATATGATTCAAATAAACTTTGCTATACATTTTGTGAAAATATGCACTCAGTTATTCCTCTGTCTGTGAGCGAGGAGAAAAACTAAAATCATACACCTCCCAAATGTACGGTGTATTATCGATCAACAATCAATTCGATTGTCCTATTTTTTCAGTTGGATCCATGCAGCATTTGAAATGTTGTTACAATCAATAAATAAATTTTGCACTATCTATCTAACCAAGAAAAAAAAGTAGTCGATCAGTCACAAGAAAAGAAAATAATATATTTGTTACCTTGTTACGTTCAAGATTTTTGACGAGATGTTGAGTTCCTCTCTTGCTGATTTTATTCTATTACAGATCAAAGCAGGCCAATGCCTATGACAAAGAAACTAATTTGGGTGTGGAAATGGCTCTTCTCTTAAGCCATAACCTCACTGACATCCACACCCCAATTCTTCCACAATATGGTAATGATACATATTTCTGTTTTATCTAAATAGAGAGAAAAAACCCACAGAATTGATGACAATTCGATTTTACGATTAAAGAGATGACGAGAAGACAAAAAGAATCTAATGGTAGGAAAGTACTGCCAACAGACAATGACAAATCGTCAATTGAATTCATGCAAATGAAAAGTATCTTCCAAGTAAAAGAGTGACACGTACATCTACACCTCTACACAAAAATATCATGTGTCTCAGATTCATATTTGTCATTGGCAATTTTATAGGCAAAGAATTGTTAACTATTGATTATCATAGAGTTTCACAATTATGACATAGAGATTCGAAATTTTATTCAGATCTAGATTTAGTAAAAACGATTAGAAGTTTTATTTGTTAGCCGGTACTATAGTATCGTATTATTTTATGATTTGTTGTCGCAATGTGAAAGATGGTTGTTGCCTCTCCATTGGATGAGATCTTGTTGGGGATTATGTTTGTTTTGCGCTTCGTTGAATGCATCACATTCAATGTCGAGAACCTTGAGAAATTTCTGCAACGGTGCCACGAATGATTGAAGACGTGAGAGTTCATCCTCCTGACTTTTTTTGAATATAGCTGCTGTATTCGTATGATAGGTTTTTCTGGCTTCTACACAATCTTCTTCGGCCAATTTTATATTTTTTTTCAATTGTTTCAATTTTTTTTCTTTCTTCTTTTGTCGTGTTTTCAAATCGATCTTTTCTGGTTCACTCAAGGAAGTTTTCTTCAGATCCCGAAAGATGGAATCTAGACGCTTCTGACACTGTGTTTCTTGTTTCTTCAATGCGTTCAATTCGTCTTTGACTTCATTCAATATGGCAAATTCTTCTTGCAGTTGATCTTGTAGCGATGGATATTGATCTTTTTTCGGCACAGATTTCGCAATTTGTTTAAGATTTGGATTGATATCATCCAATTCTTGAGCTACTTCATAGCCGATAGAGCTCGCAGCTATGAAAAGTTGTAACGTCGTTTCGTAGGATCTTAACGACGACTGATTCTGTTGAAATTTATTTTCCCATTTTTGGCTCCATTGTTTATATTCCTCGGAATGTCGCTCTCGCATGTCATTCATCTCTAGGAGCATTTCACGGAGTTTCTTTTGAAGTTTGAAACCTATTTTGAAAAATGATTGAACATGTCAATCAAAAATATGAGCAAATTACCATCAATTTGCTGTTGAACGCCGGGTGTGTAATCTACAGGATTCTCTTCGTTCAGAGTACTCGCTGTCTGTGGTGTGCTTGGTGAAGATGATGGAGAGACTGGTATGACCACTTTCTTATTTGATTTCGACACTTGTCGTTTGATGTATGCTAGCAGAGGCATGTTATCTGTCTATACTTGTTTGTGAATTATCCGACAAAATGTCTACCACATGAATATATTTATAGTACTTATAATGTTGGAAATAGTGACGTCAAATGTAACACTTTGAAAGATATGATCGGAAGAAGAAATCGTATGTGTTTAACAACATAATTGGAAAGTTACACCAATACATGTCTTCTTTCTTTCAGAATTTACAACAAAAAACTCATGGCACTGACACGTGTGTATTTTTGCTTTTATTCTTAAAAAAAGAATAGGAATTATATTGTGAGAATGAGATTATCGAAAAATATTTGCGAAGCTCTTCTTCAATGTGTGTGTTCTGCACCATTTTTTTTGCTTCTTGGTTATTAATAGAAAGAAAACAGAAAAAGATTTTGTCTATTTGTTGAAAGTCTAGAATGTTCGCGCAGAACGAAAAAAAAACAAAAAAACTCACGTACAATGAGAGTCTTATAATCTGAATCTTTATGTGACACACAAAGAGCATGATGAATGTTTGGATTGGTCCATAAATCTAACTTGGTATTCTCCCCATTACTAAGGATTAATGACTCATATTTGTTTAGTGATAGTTTGTGGGGAAAAAACCAAAGACATACTACGATCGTGAAATGCAATGAGTCACTCAAGATGAATTCTGATTGACATCAATAAACAAATTCAGTGGAATAATAGGAAGTAAAAACAAATATATTGTAACGGAAGAGAATAAGTCGCAATAATACAATATTGATAGAGTGTCATAGTTTAAACGTATATCGAACTTCAAGCAAATATATAACTAATTGATCAAATACATCTCGTATGAATAAATGAACTTCTTTTTAAAGAAATATGTGAACAAATAAATCATTTGACATTCATCCCAAGAATATTTCTGCAAATTATGAGCATTCTTCTCAGTTGCTAAATTTGAATAGGGTGACTTTAGTAAATGAAGATAGATTCTATTTATCAAATATGAATCAATATACAATTACTTCAATATGCTTATTGTATGTGATTGTAAATCATAAACGATTGATTTACGAATCCAATCGTGTCAGATTTGTCATTTGATTAATAGAACTCTAACGGATGTTGAAGATTAT